ATTTCCGCCGCCGAGCGAGGCGGCGCCGGCCGCATTTGTGGGGAGGGCACCTCCCCCGATCCATGGATTTGGCGGCCGCGCGCCAAATCCATGGATCGCTAATCCATGTTTGCGCGCCCCAGAGAAGTGGGCATCTCTTTGTCGGCGGAAGGCCGCGGAAGGTCGGCGGAAGCTGGCAGGATTTCAACGGGGGCGTGCGTGAGCCCTGTGCCCGCCGGTCGTTGAAAGTAGGTATTTTTGGACTCTCAGATCCCAATCTGCTTTAGGCGCCTTCCTACTTCGAGGATCGACAGGTTTCCTTCTTCCCTCCTCTTCATGGGGCGTGCGAAAGCCCAATCTACTTCCAACGCCTCCCTATAATTCTTCTCCCCACTTCTTCCGACCGGCGTGTACCCTCCCCCGGGTCGAGGCTCCTGGCGACGCGTGTCAGCCCAGTGTCTGTTTGCGGTCGAGCTCGGTCCGTAAGTCGACCTTTCCAGATCAAGTGTGCGGTAGATTCTCCAGATTTCGTAGTAAAAGGGAGGGGGTTTGGACCCTCCACGACAAGCCATTTCAGACCTCCCCCGTGGGAGAACCCTCCAAAACATTGTCCCCAGACCCCCCAGGCCCTCCAAGGTAGCCTCGAAGAGACCCCCCTCGAAATGAGAACTCCCTCCCTTTATTACGAAATCTGGAGTTCGCGTCGTGCCGCCTCGCCGCGATTCCGCCGGCTGCGTTCCAGGTTCAGCGCCGCCAGCGGCCCAGAATCGGCCAATACGGAACGCTCTGGCGATCGGAGGGCCGTCGATCGTTCGGAGGTTACTCCAGATTTCGTAATAAAGGGAGGGGGGTCTCATTTCGGGGGGGGGCTCTTCCAGGCTATCTTGGAGGGCCTGGGGGGTCTGGGGACGCTGTTTTGGAGGGTTCTCCCACGGGGGAGGTCTGAAATGGCTTGTCTTGGAGGGTCCAGACCCCCCCTTCTATTACGAAATCTGGAGTACGCTATCCACGTGGTGTCAGAAACCAACGCTTAGGTCGGGCGTGTCCCCCTACAGGCGGATTCTGGTCGAATAATGAAACAATGCGCCACAAAAAGTTAGCAATAATCGAACATAGTCAAACACTGGTCCCCAGACTACTTTTCGACTACTTTTGAGTGTTCCTCCTGTAGAGGGACAGGCCCTCGCGCAGGTTGTCACGACACGAGACCGCCGTGCCCTTTGTGTACTGTGTTTCGCGTCCCATCCATGTCCTCCGCATTCCTGGGGCAACGTGGCCCTCGGAAGGGTCTTGCGCCCTCTGCGTGTGTCCTCTCCAACCCTGGCCCTAAATCGGGCGTGTCCCTCTACAGGAGGAATATTCAAACATAGTTCCCAAATAGTCTGGGTACGATTATCCGAATATTTTTGATGATTGTTCAGTTTTTTTTGGTTATTTTGCATTTTTCGTCCCAAATCTGCCTGTAGAAGGGCATGCCCGACCTAGCCCTGACCCTACATGTCCAATCGAGGCTGGGGAATCGGACACCCCCGCTGGGGTTCGCGTGGCTGCAGACGTCCTTCGCACTTCTAAGCCACAGCCCGTTTTTCAGAACTGTGACCTGAGGGGGTAGGATTCACATGTTACAGACTTCCCAGATGGGGTCCGAGTCGATGGGGTCGGAGGGTCAAGCCGCATCGCCGATGTTTCGGTGATGCAACGCGATGTGTAGCCCGACTTTCTCCACACCAGCGTCGCCGATGCTTCGCCGACGTCGCCGATGCATCTGCGGTGCATCTGCGATGCGGCGCAATCCTCGGACCCCGTCCACTCGGACCCCAGTTGGGAGGTCTTTGGGGGTAGGATTCGCTCGAGCGACGCCGGAAAAAAGCGCTGTCGTCTTCATCGGCCTTGGCGCGTCAGCTGTTCGCGCACGGTCGCGCGTGAGCGCTTTCGTTTCCAATGCGGCGTGCCGCGCAGGCGGCCCGCGTGAGCTACCGCGTAGGGCCAGTCTACCGTCTCGCGTAAGACCCTCTTCTTTACGTCGCACGCTCGTGCAGGGTTCCTTTCGATTCCTCGGATCCGATTCGATGTCGATGGCTTCCGATTCCGATTCGATTGGACGTTGGATCCCGATTTGGGCTCCGATTTCTCGGCGGAGGCCTACTTGCCTGCCGATCTCGCCCCGCCCCAGCCCGATGCACACGATTCGGTAGTATCATTTTCACGCACGCCCCGCGATCCCACCACCTCCCCTCATGCCGACCGCACAGCATTTTTTATGCGATTCGATTAGGGGGTCGGGCGGCTGGGGAGGGCGGGGGGGGGGCGGAGGGGAGGAGAAAGAAGAAGAGACGACAATAAGTAAGAAGGAACGAACAGAAGAGGAAGCATAGGGCAGGGGAGAGGAAGAAGAAGAAGGGATAATGAAGAGGATGCGGGAGACGCAGAAGAAATAGGGCGATGGGGGCAGGAAGGCAGAAGAAGACGTCAAGAAGAAGACAAAAAAGAAGAAGAAAGAAGAAGAAGATGAAGAAGCAGAATAATAAGAAGAGAAGAAGGAAGAAGAATAAAGAAGCAAGACGAAGAATACAATACCAACATAACGAAGACGACCGCGCAGAATAAGAAGTAGAAAGCATAACACAGACCAACATCCACAGCAAACTCAACAGCACCCGAAAAATCCCCCTCCCATACCCATAGCCTCATCTTACTCCTCCTAATAATCCTCCAAAGCCCCTACTCCTCCATTCTCCTCCTCATCATCCTCCTTCCTCTCCCTCCTCCTCCTCTCCTCCTCCTCCTCTCCTCCCTCCTCCTCCTCCTCCTCCCCCTCATTCCTCCTCCCTCCTCCTCCTCCCCCTGCCCCGTCCCCCTCATCTCCTCCTCCCTCTCCTCCTCACTACCATCTCCCCTCCACTTCCTCCTCCTCTCCTCCTCCTCCTCCTCCTCCTCCTCCTCGTGGCTGCCCCCCGAGAGAGCCGCCGACGGGAGGGGGCTCGGCCAGGGGCCGCAGGGCGCGCGGCCTCTCCCGGGCTGGAAGGCCGGTCGGCGCGGACCGGCGCGCAGACCACGCCGCGCAGCGAGGCGTCGGTGCGGAGCAGCTGGAGGGGCAGCTGAAGGGGCAGACCCCGAGATCCGACGCTCCAACCATTTTTTGATTCGCGGGTCGAGAGCGCACCTCTTCCGGTCGAAGCTAAGCGGGCGGCGCGAAGCTTGAATCAACCAGAGATGGGGGAGGAAAAGGGGGGCGCAGCCTCAGAACGAGGCCGGGAGGAGGCAAAGCCTCGGAATCAGGCGGTGCCGAAGCCGACGTACTTGCAAAGGAGCGCAACCCGACGCTCCAACAAAAGCTGGAGCGGACGGTTTTTGGCCGTTTTCGGCCTCCGGGGGCCCTCGCCGGGCCTCGGGGGCGTCCACGAGCGGCTCAGGATGGAGAGCCGGTCCCAGGGAAGTGGTCCGGACCTCCAGGGCCCACGCATCGAAAACATTGGAGCAGCCGGATGTCTGGGGAGGAGGAAGAGGTACGGTCGGACCGAGGTGTAAAAGGTCGAGGCCGGCCTGCTCGGGGAGAGTACCCTGGTGTTCTTCGTGCTTGTTGGATGTTTTTGTGCATCCTGGGGGAGGGTACCCTCGAGTGATTGTATGGTTTGGGGTGTTTTGGCCTGCGGAGGGCCTCACGTTCTTGAAGGATGTGTTCTTCTGTCCCAGGTCCGACCGGACCGCTACCGCTACCGCTACCCTGTCCTCGCTTTTCCTTTCTTTGGGCCTCCTGGGAGACCCTCGTCGCCACCGTCGGATGCGCCTCGACATTCTGGTCAGAACGCACCCCCGGAGAGTTCTGGTATCGGCACCTCCCGGTCTCCCCAGTCGGGAGCGGCCAAGAGGGGGGTGTCCAAGAGGGGGGGTGCAAATCATGGCCGGCGGCACGTGCGCGGCCCAGGTCGGGGGCCAGGGACGTAATGGAATCAGAAGAGGCGCCATGAGATCTGGGGAAATCTCATGGCCACCGCCATGAGATCCACCCCCCCTATAGTCATCGCCCCCCTCTTTTCCGCCCCCCGACCCAGGAGGGGCAGCTGGAGGGGCAGCTGGCGGTTCTTCCAGGGGTCGCCGAAGGAGAGAAGAAGACAGCAGCACGCGACTCTGCCATCGCTCGGGCGTGCCTCCCCCGTGCCTTGTGCGTTTTCGTGCGTGCTTCTTTGCAGGAGGGGGAAAGCCACACAGACACACTTCGTCGTCGACTCCCCAGAAAAAAAAAACATGGGAAACGATGGGAAGTGGGGGGGAAGACGAAAGCCCAGAACAGCTACGGGAAGAGATGGGGAATCCTGGGATTTGTGTGTACCCACCGGTCGTTGGAAGTAGGTGTTTTTGGATTCCCAGATTCCAATCTGCTTTCAGCGCCTTCCTACTTCAAGAGTCGAGTGGTTTTCCCTCTTCCCTCCTCTTCAGGAGGCGGGCGGAAACCGAATCTGTCTCCAACGCCCTCCTGCTTCACTAGGGGAACAAAAAATGACATAAACATAAAAACTCGGAGGTCCGCGCGGATTTCTCGGATCGGCCCTGGACCCCCCTCCCTGGCGCGCGGAGCGCGCCAGGGGCGGCGCCGGAGGCGCCGCCAGGGGGCTTCGGCGCGGATCTTCGAGTTTTTATGTTTATATGCCACTTGTTGTTCCCCTGCTTCCCGTTTCCACCTGCTTCTTCCGGCCGATGGACACTTGTGCGTCCCTGGGCCCCCTCGTGAGCGGGGGTCCAGCGCCGCTCCCAGAGCTCTTAAGGCATCGCTCGGACGTGTGCATGCTTCCTCCGGCGAGGGCGGTCGAGGAGCCGCCTTGATCAGGTGGCGAGAAGGCCACGCACGAAACCGACAAAAAGCACAGGGAATGGACGCCCGAGCGATGGCCGGCACGAGCGGGGGTCCAGCGCCGCCCCCGGCGCTCCGAGCCGCACCCCTCGCGACGGCCGCGGGGCGGCTGCGTGCCCCCCGGCGGTCGCGCCCGCGGGGCCCCCCGCGCGGGCGTTCTGGGGCGGAGCGCCGCCCGGTCGGCCCCGCAGCCCGCCACCGCTGGGGCCCCAGGCCCCCTCGCGTCGTGGAGAAGATCGCGGCGGCAGGTGTTTCACCGTTGTCGCCCTCCTCCTCCTCCTCCTCCTCCTCCTCCTCCTCCTCCTCCTCCTCCTCCCCCTCCTCCTCCAGACAAATTGGAACAGGCGGTTTTTGGCCGTGTTCGGTCCCTAGGGGCCCTCGCTGGGCCTCGGGACCGTCAACAAAACGACTCAGGATCCGAAACCGGTCCCGGGGAAAGGGTTCAGACCTCTGGGGGTCGACGCCAGGAAAGCATCACGACGCCGTGGGGTCTGGGACGAGCTCGCGATCGAGCAGCCGCCGACCCGCGCGGTGTCAGAGGCCGACCCCGAGGACCCCGCGGCACGAACCCGCCGTGTGCTTGTGCCGCACCTCTCAGGAGGGACAACAACACGGACACAATTCATCGTCGATTCCACCGAAGATATGGGAAAATATGGGCAGTGGGGGGGACGACAAACACCCAGGAGATGTGGGAAAATGTGGGGAATCCTTCGAGGATTTATATTGTGTGTGTATTTATATGATTTGTGTGTATTTATATGTGTGTCCCAGGGCCCCTTCACTCATCCTTCGAGGTCGGACGAGGGGCCGAGGGACACCGGCTGGTCCACGCGCCCCGCGCTGAGCGAGCGGACGAGGCTGCGGGGCGTGAGGACGTCGATCCTGAGCGTCGGGTCCCAGCAGCTGTCGCCGGTGACCCTGAACCGGCGCAGGCTCTCGGGGAGGAGGAGGAGGAGGAGGAGGAGGAGGAGGAGGAGGAGGAGGGTCAGCATCCGTTCCGGCCCCTGTCCCCAGCCCCATGCCTCCCCCTCCTCCTCCTCCTCTCCCCTCCTCCTCCTCCTCCTCCTCCTCCTCCTCCTCCTCCTCCTCCTCCTCCTCCTCCTCCTCCTCCTCCACCCCGGTTGGGGAATGGCCCCTCGAGGCCCCAAGAGAGAGCGCCCACATCCCCTATCAAACGGGGGGCCGCTCGGCCAGCAGGGCCCCGGCCGCGCCCAGGGGGGTAGGGATAAGTCGGGCCTGTCTCGGGCCGGACGAAAGGGGGGGATTGGGAAAGGGGGGGGTACGAAATCTGCTGCGTGCAGCTGGTTTCGGCCTCACCGAGGGGCCCATTCCTCGATACATGGCTTCCTCTGGCGCCGGGAGGCGCCATGAAAATCCGCTACGTGAGCTGATTCTCAACCCCCCCCCTTTGCTATCCCCTCCTTTCGCCCGACCCGACTGTCCCCCTACAGGGGGGTTTTCGACGAACAAAAAAAAACACCCCAAAATAATCCAAAAATAGTCCAAAAATGATCTGAGGACTATTTTTGGACTATTTTTTTACATTCTTGGGGCATTTTTGGGGTATTGTCTATCTGTCGTCGAAGATCCCCCTCCCCTGTAGGGGGACACGCCCGACATAAGCCCAGGCCACGCCCGTGGGGGTAGGGGTCGGTGACACGATGGTCAGGCTCTGGTCGCTGCTGCACCAGATGTGCATACGGAGGTCCCTGCTGGTGGCGCTGCCGTGCGCCGTGGTCGCGGCGGTGATGGAGCACGCGGATTCCCAGGTGGGCTTCCTGCAGTCCATCCTGCCGGATGATCAGACGTACTCCAGCTTCACCTTCCTGCTGGGCTTCTTCCTGACCTTTCACACCGCCCACGCCTACCAGAGGTTCTGGTACGGCGCCCAGATGATTTACACCATCTCGGGCAACTTCATCGATATGACAAGCCTGCTCCTCGCGTTCACGCGGCATTCCGATGGGCTGGAAGAGCTCAGGTCCGAGTTCAAAGTTACTTTGATCCGACTGGCAAGCTTGCTTTTCGCAGTCAGCATTGAAGAA